GCTCGGCTGCCAGATCGCGTCTCGCCGCTGCGCGGGGGCCGGAATGGGAGGACGACTGTGGCGCTCCCGCTCTGAGTCAGCCGGGCCTGGCTCCTCCATGAACACGGGAAAGGGGAAGTGCATGCCGCAGGGAGGGGCTTGGCCCCGAGAACCTCAGAAGAGGGAATTTTATTCTTACTCATCGAATTATTTTTATGCTTTGGTTTTTCACTGGGAACCTCAGGCCACTGTCTCCCTTGTAACCCTTTGGGGTTTAATTCCTGGTGGCTGGACCCAGCTTCTTAGAACTCCAAGCTTGGGGGGACAAGAGGTCTGTGCTCCCCTCACCTTGAGGAGGCTAGGCCTCACCAGGGCAGCAGTCAGTGGCAATTACAATTTAACGTCAGTTTACCAAACACCTGCCAGGTGCCCTTCACTCTACCTGTCTCGTCTCACTGAATCTTCCTTTTACCCGTCCAGGTGGGTACTGTTAGCCCAGGCCACGAAGTGGCACCGATGGCAGAGCCAGGATTGGCATGGGGGGTCCCTGAACCTCCAGCACCTGACACTCCACTGCTCTTCGCTCTTCTTGGGCGGGACAGCGGCAGGAGTCTGGCCTAGTGTTTCCACTTTGCGTCCTTCTCTGGGAATCAGCAGGACAGAGGAATATTCAGGAAGACACTTGGGCAGAGACTTAAGGTGGAGTGGAGAGCTCTTAAGTCTCTGCCCTTCAGCAAGCTCCCATGGTTGGTTCTGCGTCATTTTTCCCGCAGTGGGAAAAACTCTGCGGACACTCAGCTCTCACATGCCGCGTCTAGTGCCTGTCACACTTTCTACTGCAATGTCTCCCTCCCCAGGCCTCCAACTCTGTCCAGGTGAAGGAGCGTCTCCTCCGGGGACTCCTGTCTACCTTATCCCACCAGAGTCATACATCTGCCAGCCCAACTGGGCCCCTGCCTGAGTTCTGAAATGGAAGCCCTGGGTTAATTTCAGTGCAGAGGGAGAAAGACACTGGGGATGCTGCCTTGGGACCTAGAAGATGCCCTCCTCCCTCTATGCAAATCATTTCATCATATGCAAAATACTTCACAATATGCAAATGATTTCACAATAACATTTCCCTGCCTCTGGTGGCTCCTGACCACCCATGTGGAGGTGGGGAAGTGCCACTTGTTACCTACTCACTGCCCTTTCCTCCCACCTGGCGGGAAGCACCACCATCAGAATCTAATGGATTAAAGAAAAGGCTGTGGAGGGTAGGGACAGGGCTTCAGGTGAGCAGGGACTGGAAGGGCTGGGTGAAAAGACGGGGGTGGGATCATCAGTGTGGCTGTTTGAAGCCATGAGTTAGATCTGCCTCAGGCTTCTAGGTATACAGGTCAGGAAAAAACAAAAATGAGATGCAGAAATGTTTACTTAATATTGGGGGCCAGCAAGTAGCGTGGTGGTTAAGGCAACTGGACTCTCACATGGCTGCCCACGGTTCGAGTCCCGGACCTGGTGGCTTAAATTCACGCCGGGTGCATGTGCGTGCGTGCCCAAAGTACCGAGAGGAGAATGGGAGAAGGGATTGTGGCGTGGGCATCCTCCCTGAAGGGTTGATTTCTCACTTTCTATCTCTCTGTCTCTCTCTTTCTGGCGAACACACACGCTCCATAGCAAAAACCTCTCCTAAATAAATAAATAAAATTGGAACCAGCAGGCGGCATGGTGGTTAAGGCACTGGACACTCCCACATGGCTGACCACGGTTCAAGTCCTGGACCTCATGGCTTGCTTTCTCACTTTCCTCTCTCTCCTCTCTCTCTCTGTCTCTTTCTGGTCAAATTATAATGAAGCGGGAACCAGCAGTTAGCGTAATGGCTATGTCGCTGGACTCCCACGTAGTCGACAATGGTTCGCGTCCCAGACCCAGTAGCTTAAAACTCACGCCAGGTGCGTGTGCGTGCGTGCCCAAGATCCCAAGAGGAGAATGGAGGAGAAGGGATTGCGGCGTGACCATACCCCCTGGGGGGTGATTTCACACTTTCTGTCTCTATGTCTCTCTGTGTCTGTCGGACGAGCGCACGCGCCCTATAGCAAAAAACCTCTCCAGAAAAAAAAATTATAAAAAAGGAATGAATGAATAGATAAATAAATCTTTTTAAAAATAAAATTAAAAAATAAAGACAGTGAATAAAATTAAATACAATAATTCTTTTAAAAATATTTACTTAATATCATCTTTTTTTTTCTTTTTTTGAGATTTTTGCTATAGGGTGTGTGTGTGCTCACCAGAGAGAGAGATGGAAAGCAAGAAATCACCACCCACCCAGGGAGGATGGCCACACTGCAATCCCATCTCCTCCATTTTCTCAGTATTTTGGGCACACATACACATGGGGCGGGTGTGAGTTTTAAGCTGCCGGGTCCAGGACTCGAACCAAAGTCAACTACGTGGGAGTCCAGCGATGTAATTGCTATGCCATCTGCTGGCCTCAATAGCATCCATTTTAGCAGAATGACAAAACGAGAACTTACATGTGTATGTGATTATAGGCTTGGGTTATCTGTAAGTCCATGTGTAACTATGAGTACGTGAAAAATAGAGGATCATAGGAATCCATAGCGGGGAACTGCAGATGCTCCTCCACTGACAGTGGGGTTACCTCTCAATAACCCATCGTGATGGAGCAGAGACGTAGGAGCACGGCCACTTTGAGCTCCTCTCTGTATTGGAAACTTGCTTTCTCCTTTTGCCTAGAGTAAACGGTGATTAACACTCCTACTGTCTTTGCTAAATAACCCGAAACACCCTACCCTAAGACGTTGCTTAGGGATGTAATCTCAGTCGCCAGCCCCCTTGCCCTGAGCCATGAAGGTTCCGATGTGTTTAGGTCTGGACGGACATACCCTCAGGGATGATTAACCTGCTTGTTCTGCTTCTGTAATGCGCTTAATCCCACTGCAGCCCTGTCCTTGTGAATCCTCACATGGTCCTGGAAAAGACTGAATTTGGGGCCTGTATAAGCTCCCTTCTCCTTTCACACGGGGCTGCGGGGTTTTGAGAGATATGAGTTGTCCATCCCCCATATGCCGCCGGCCTAATCAATACACTCTGATAAATTTGGCTGCCTGGATGTCCTCTTACTTCTCGCTGGAGTAGACTGTAACGGTAAGTTAAATATGCTAAGCTGAAGACCATTTAATACCCAGAAACCCACGGTATAGTTGAATCGTACTGAGGGCTGGCCCATGGTCTAGTGGGTATGGGAGCAGGATTCTCTGTTGCTGACCAAGCGAATCCTGGCCCTGGCAGCTTGAAAAACACACTGGGAGGGAGGGCAGCAGGTGGTGTGGTAGTTAAGACACTGGTCACTCCCACATGGCCGACCACAGTTCAACTCCTGGACCTGGTGGCTTGTCTTTTCACTT